CCATTCTGCAGGGGCGCTTAGTGAGAGCGGGTATTTTGAGCGCCGTGATGTGTAATCCTATAATTACAATCACCCGTAACCCTAGTTAAACCCTAAACCCTGAACCCTAAACCCTAAGCCCTAGACCCTGTCTTGGGGTTCAAGGGTTCTTCAAACCTTCAAAACAGGAGGTTTTCCAGTTTAGGCGGCTTACAATAAGATTCCCAAACCCTAAACCCCAAAAAAACACCTAACCCTAAACTCTAAACCCTCAACAACCCGCACCCTGGCATGGGGCCTTAAGTTCGGCGACAAACATCTGTAGGTGAACACAGGGTAACGGGCGACAGCGGTCTAGGGTTCTCAAGGTTTAGGGCTTATAGGGCTTCAAGCCCACCACTCCATAATCCCAAAGACATACAAAAGCAAGGACTCATGGGCTTCTCGGTTTCGGGATGTTTGGGTTTAGGCGGTTGGGGGTACCCTAAACCCAAACCCCAAACCCTAAACCTTTTGAGGGTCTAGGACCCTGAGCTGCCGGCCAACAAGGGGAGCAAGTCCAACGGGCCGTAGAGCAGCAGGCACTGAACCTAAGGTTCAGGAGCTGAGGCTTCTAGGGGCCTAAACCCTGAACCCTACGCTCTTAGGCTTGAACAGTTAAGGTGGTAGGGGCTTGGGAACTAAGGGGTGTCGAGGGCTTCAGGGACTAAACTTGGGATTCTGTTCAGGCCTTAGAAGGCGTGCCTTTGTGGCTTCGGGGCTGCTGGTCTCAGATCTAGCAAGCTTTGAGGCTTACAAAGGCTAGGTTGTCGCGCAGGCTTGCAGCCGGGCATGGTGCAAAAGTGCCGGGCATGGTGCAAAAGTGGGCTTGAAGCCAAAAAGCTTACAAAAACCCCAAACCCTAAATTTGCAAGCCACAAGCCGTTCTTAAACCCCTGTTCATCATGACGGAAGGTTGGCCTCCGCAGGTTTCTAAGGAAAAAAACCCTGGGCCTCTTATAGCGCCTACCCTAAGCTTTCAGGCTTGGTGTTCTCACCCGCCTCAACGTAGGTTGCCCAGTTCTGCGCGACTTGCCTTCTGAGAGGCCGTTGGGTATGCCATAACCGAACACAAATCAGGAAGCGCTTCGGCCGATCAGCCCCCCACCGCACGGAGTTGCCCAACCATCAGCGCAGAACAGGCGGTGTCACAGAGGCCCTTCGCTCACGAAGAACAGGCCTCTGAGTAAACACCATTGCTGCAAGATGCTGCAAGACCAAAAGCTCCCATCCCAACACCCTACGAGCCCAATCCCCCCCCCCCCCAAAAAAAAAAAAAAAACACAAACATGCCCTAGCCCCTAATCCGCTACAAACACGAAGCCCTGAACCCTTAAAATCCCTGAGCCCTAAAACCCCAAAATCCTCAAACCCCACAAAAGGCGCAACACCCCAAACCCCAAAACCCTTAAGCCCTAAGCCCTCAATGCCCCTTAAGCCTTACCTCAAAGCTCCTACGTAGTACCTTTTAGGTAGGCTACGATAACTCCCTTATAACTAAACCAGAAAGGAACTACATTAGGAGCATTCAAGAACATCTTAATCGTTAATTAAGGCCTGGGATGTTCCCCCCCCTATGCTAATAGTCCTTACTAGGTATTTTTGTGGGGGGTGCTATAGTCCCTATAGAAGGACTGTTAGTATGAGGGGGGACATCCCTAAACCCTAAACACCAAACCCCAAGGCCCTAAGCCTGAAGAAAGGGGTCTAAGGCTCCTGCGGCGCCATCGGCGAGATGTCGCCACTTTCTCTGCTCAGGCCTCGCGGGCGCTGCGCGGGTCGCATGAGCTTTCTGTGGGTTATAAGGTTTACGGGTTGAAGTGCTAGGGGCTTTGAGGCTTTGGGAGTTCAGATTTGGGGCTTCACGTTTGGGGGCTTTTGGCTCACTAGGCGATTGAAGGTGTAGGGGGGGGGGGGGCTTTAGGGTCTCGGGGAAGTAGGGTTTGGGGAAGTAGGGTCTCTGGTCTTGAATCAGCGGCTGGGGCCTTTGTGGATTCGGGGCAGCTGGTCTTACCCAAAGGTTCCTACGTAAGTACCTTTTTGGGGTAGCATACGAAAATTCCCTACATATAACTAACCCAAAAAGGAACTACATTGGAGCCTTTGGGTAGATCTCCTTGGGCTTTAGGGCTTAGAGAGGCTAGGTTTCTCGTGCAGGCTTGCTGCCGGGCATGGTGCGAAGGTGGGCTTGGGACTAACAGCTTACCCTAAACCCTAAACCCTAAACCCTAAATTCAACAACCTTAAACCCTAAACCCTAAACCTTAAATTCAAAATCCGAAGCCCCGATTCAGGGTGGGGGGCCTTCACACCGGAGTTTTCTAGGGGAAAAAGCTTAGGGGGTTTATGGCCACGTAATTAGCGACAGGGGCACAAGACCCAAAACATGAAACCCTTTATGTAGGCCTTATCTACTTGTCCTACACCCCTTACACACTTCTTACGTACTCCTGTCCGAATTGCTGTTTCTATACCTCTTGCACCAAAGCCCTAAACCACAAACCCTCAGCCCTAACTTTTCATGCAAGTCTTTTACCGGGCCCCTTTAGCTAGTTCAAGGTTGGGATAGTATTAAAAATGTAGATGTATATTCCTTATTGGGTTTTAGTACCCTTCAAAATGTAAAATGTTACCTTCCTTATTGGGTTTTCGTACCCTTAAAATGTAAAATGTTACCCAACTATGACAAATTAGGGAAGCTTCCGCTCCAGGGCACTGGAGCTGGAGATTGCTGGCAGGGAGGCCGCTCCTGCTGAGAGATTGTGGGTTTTGGGTTTAGAGGGTAGAGGGTTTTGGGTTTAGGGTTTAGGGTTTAGGCTTTAGGGGTTAGGGTTTAGGGTTTAGGGTTTAGGTGTGTAGGGTTTAGGGGTTCAGGGCTTAGTAGGGATTTTTTGGGTTTGGGGGCGGAGAGCTTGCAGGTTTAGGAATTGTAGCTGACTTCAGGTTACAAAGTGCTTCATCAAGGCTTAGGTCGGGATTAGGAGGGACTGGTTTAGAGGGTTTAGTGGGCTTAGTGGGTGTAGAGATGTTTTAGGAGACTTCAGTCGCCAGCAGGAAAGGCAATTTGACCCATGATGTTTCGCCAATTCACTTCTTTGACACACACGCGCACACACACCTCGGTGGCAATCTCCTGGAAATAGGCTTGCAAGTGATTGAATAGCTCCTGCCAAGACGTGGCTTGCATCATGTCTTGTCCTGGTTGGCCAATCCTGATTTCGACCCTCGCACCTGGGAGGCATCTAATCGTCTGCCAGACATGCCCACACCATCGAGAACTCTCCAATCAGCTTTGTCCAGCAAGGCCAGATCATGCACAATAGCCTGCGCCTGCCACCTTCGCAAATGGCTCCATGTACCGCTTCAGAGTGCACTGTGTGGGTGGCTGCATGTCTGGCGTGCCCAGTGCTTTACGCGGTGCATAAAGGGGCCTGGCTATATGGTGGCATACTGTGTTGGATGCGCTGCCGCTGCCGCAGCTCCTCGTTTAACATGGCATTCACCGGCTCTAGTTCCCATGGCATACGTTGGTAGGGCGGCAGGCCGCGTGAACACAGAGAGTCCACGCAAATGCCCACGTGGACCGAAACGTGTTCGGCGAAATGCCGACTGCACGCATCTCGTGGCGAACGGCGGCCAAGACGTACTGCCCAGAAAAACTTCTTGGGCCGGTCGTAGGCTGCGTGGCAGAGGAACCTCACACGCAGCTTGCACTGAAACTTGGCCGGATCTTCTGGAGATTCGTACACCGCCTGTTGGCATCTTTCAGACATTGCAGGGCCACGGGCATTGACCGTTGGCACTGTGACCATGCACTCTAAAGATTCTGGAGTCCTGTCCATGGGTAAAATTCCAATTCGAGTTTTTTCTTCGGCTGCGAGGTTCCCTCTAACGTAGAGGCTCTACGTGCAAAGCTGCTACAGCTGGCTCCGTGTGGCCGAGGAACGAACTCGATGAGGTCGGTGTTCAAGGTCACGAAGATCGTGTCGCCATTTGAATCTCCGCTAGACAGCGCGGCGGCGCGGTGTTGGCGGGCAGGCCAGGCCTTTGCCTCCCACACCTGGATGTCTCCCGGCGGCACTACCGGGCTGCGCCGCACAGCAACCCTGCCCAGGGACGCTGACACCATTCTCGAACACATGACACTACCTGTCCTCCGAAGGAAAACCTGCTTTGAGCTAGTTCCTCTAGACACTTGCCCCGCGCTGCCAGATAAACTGTAGGAGGAGATGTGCTCATGGCGAGTCCATGGCATCACTCCCAAATCCAGCCTCTTGGAACTCCAGGCCACTCTGCTTCTGGCTGCTTCCATACCTGGATATGAATATCTTGCATTGCGTCAAGTCAAGAGCCAAGTTGAGCGCAGCAGCCAACTGCTCAGAATCAACATACCTTTCTGATCTGCAGAATCTTCCAACATCATCAAGATACTGTTCTGGTGGAGAAGCTCTGCCTATAACATTGATTTCTCACACGTCTCACGATAGCTTTGCACCAAATATCTTCAACCAAGAAAGTGTGAATAGGAATAAGAAAATGTGTAGAAGATGCAAGGTCTTGTTGATTTGTAGGTTTTCTGCGTAGTTCTATTAAGTCTCTGTTATGGCATGTATTCTGGCAGCCTCAAACCTTGGCAAAACGGACGAATTACCGAGTGACGAAAATGTGAGCACAGGCGTTGGATCGCGGCCTGCACTTGGCTGTGCGCTACTTTTTCTTTTCTGTTTCGCCCCGGTATTTACAGCGGTTCATATTCTCTAGCGCACTTCGGACTCTATTTCAAACTTTTGCTTCTTGAATGGGCTTCCTCGTTGCACTGTCTGTGTCCGTTTCCCTGGTTATTTTGCACGATTTGCAAACTTATTTTGGCTTCTTGAAAGCGCATTTTTTGCTTGCGGGCATTTTGCGTGGTTTTTGAGATTTTGACTATGTTTTTACGGGTTCTGCATCGCCTTTTCGTTGCTTTGTCCTTGAGGTTTTTGTGATTCACGTCTCGGCTTGCTTTAGGGTTTAGGGGTTTAGGGGTTTAGGGGTTTAGGGGTTTAGGGGTTTAGGGGTTTAGGGGTTTAGGGGTTTAGGGGTTTAGGGTTTAGGGTTTAGGGTTTAGGGTTTAGGGTTGGAGTCTTACGGTTTGGGGTTCAGGGTTTAAGGGCTTTGGCATGGCTTTGTTGAGCCCAGAGCCTATACACTCAAACCTCAGACCCTAAACCTCAAAACCTACATGCTACACCCTGAACCCGAACCCGAAGCCTAAACCCTAAACCCTAAACCCTAAACCCTAAACCCTAAACCCTAAACCCTAAACCCTAAACCCTAAACCCTAAGCCTCTACATTACTTCGGGCCTAGGGTTTGCAAGCGGCCTGCTGTTGATGCTCTCCATGCGGAAGAGGGCGCGGTAGACGCTGAAGGAATCTTCCCCTCGAGATTGTTCCAGTTAGAGGGTTCTTAAGGGAGGGGGGTTCATGGGGGGTACCTAGCCAGCCCTAGGGAAGCTTAGGGAGCCCGAGGGAGTACTGGGGGTTGTTAGGAAGTCTTGGGTTACATACCCCCTTGAACCCCCCTCCCTGAAGAGCCCTATAATCCAGAAAGAACCCCAAGCCCTCTTCAACTAAGGGAACACTAAACCCTTGACCTTACCCTTTCTACACCCCAGCCAGTCTGACTCCTGCCCGAAACAAGGCCTAATGACATGAGCAAGAGACGAGATTGGCATATCCGGGCATAGGGGTCAGGGTTTAGGTTATAGGTCGTTACTGGACAGTCTAGTAAGGGATCCCACATAACCTGTAATGCAGGAAACCTAGCGACAAGGGTAACTTGAAAAGGGCCATGATATGGAAACAAGAACTCTCCTCCTTCCTGTGGGGGTCCTAAGTTCTTAAGTTGGGTTTGGGGATTGGGGGCTCAGGGTTTCGGGTGTATGGCTTGGGGTTTTGGTCAGAGCCACCCTTACCCTTTACAAGAGATGGTTGGAACGGCAACTCTACACAACGCACGCGAGTTTTTGACACGACATCTCTTGTAGCAGCGCCATGTAGGGTTCTAGAATATTGCGACTGTGTACAGCGATGTCCTGCCCGACACAGGACCCAAACCCAAAACCCCACCATTGCAAGTATTTGGGGCTAGCATGTCTACCCACATCTTGCATTTTCAAAGCAAAAGGCAAACTTTAAACCATACAGGGAATACGATGGCAGTGCCCTAAACCCTAAACCCTAAACCCAAAACCCTAAACCCTGACACCTAGACGCTAAACCCTAAACCCGAAACCCTAGCCCTAAACCCTAAACCCTAGCCCTAAACCCTTATCAACCCTAGCAGAGGAAAACCTAAAAAAGCGTGCGATGCCATCTGGGCGAGGCCCAAACGAGCTGCATCGAAGACCAACTGCACCTCACTCTCTTTCAGCCCAAAGCTAGAGCTGCTGGGTTGTTTAGGGGGGGGGGTTCGGGTTTAGAGGTAGGGTTTAGGGTTTAGGGTTGGGGGTTTAGGGTTTGGGGTTTAGGGTTTGGGGTTTGGGGTTTAGGGCTGGGCCCTACCTTGGACCCACAAGAACCTCCAGATTCAGAGCCCGAGAGGTTGGGAGGCTTTGGCATTTTGAGTGTTCAGGGCCCTGTAAAAAAATAGGTTTCTATGGGTTCGTTAATACAAAGGCTAGCGCCCAGAGAACTTTACAAGTTCTTCCAACTCAACCTCAGTATTGTGATGGGATGGGGCCTTCGGGTTTTGGGGTATTCGGTGCCCTTAAACTACACGACGGTCCAAGGGTTCAGGGCTTTGAACTAGAAGAACTTCAGGGTTTAGGGTATTCGGTGCCCTTAAACTACACACTAAACCCTAAACCCAAGCCCAGAAGAAAAACGAACAACACCACGGAGCCACAAGACACCAAAACACCCCGCCTAAAACCCCCTGAATACACCAAAGCCATTAAGACCTTTTAACTATCTAAACCAATAATTACCCCTCCCCAACCCCCATCCACCAAGTCCCGAAACGAGTCGTTAAACCCCGGTCCCTTCAGCCTAAACCCACGGAAAACTCCATAATTCGGGTGGCCTAGAGTTTTCGGTATCTTCGCCGGGTTGGTGTCTTCTTCTGCCGCTTGCAGACCTTCTACCACCCAGATCTTCCAAAACCCCTTAGTTAAGGAATATACCTTAATTCATAGTAAGGATCCTTAGTATACAATTTATGGTATGTTCCTTCATCAAGGGGTTTTGGAAGATCTGGGCACTTGCATCTCATCTCGTTGGACGCCGTGGCGTCGGCGTGCCGCGATCCGGCCAGCCCTTATGACTTAGCGACGTGGTCGGCGCCCTCTAAACCCTAAGCCCTCAACCCTAGACCCCAAGCCCTGATCCCAAAAACGCGCCTCTTTGCGGAGAGCACTATGGCGGGCATAAACCCATATCCACCCCCCCCCCCCCCCCCCCCCCCCCCCCCCCCCCAAAAAAAAAAAAAAAAACACTTCATCCCATAAACCCAATACATCCCTAAATCCCTAAATCCGCTAAACCCTAAACCCTAAACCCAACATCCCGCCCTAGAAACTGAGTTCATAGCCCCTGCATGGCAAAGGGAGGACCCCCAGGTGAGGAGCATCATGGACAAGAGGCAGGCCTGGGGCTTGAGGGAGCTTAAGGGTGAGGGGTCTTGGGAAGTAGGGTTTAGGGTTTAGGGTTTAGGGTTTAGGGTTTAGGGTTTAGGGTTTAGGGTTTAGGGTTTAGGGTTTAGGGTTTGGGAACTACGGGTGAGGGTTTTGGGAATTAAGGGGGGGGAGGGGGCTTGGGTTGCTTTGGGGGGTTTTGGGTGTTTCGGGAGTTTTTGAGGGGTCTGGGCTTTTAGGGGGGTTTGGGTTCTTAGAGGTCTTTCGGGTTTAAGGCTTTTTTGGGTTTTAGGGGACGTTGGGGCTTTGGTGTCTTGTTGGACCTAGGGCTTGTAGTGGGTTTTTAGGGCTTCGTGAGGCTTAGGATTCAGGACAGAGGGAGCGATTTAAGGCCCTGCAAGAACCTAACCCTAAACTGTGGTGTAGGTTTGGGGGCCCGATAAAAATGACGGCTTTTTTGGCTTGTAAAGCATTATACAACTACAAGTGGACTAAGGGTAATGACAACTAAAAATAGGGTAGTAGATGCAAAACATGTTCAAGCCTACCCCTGTACAACGTGCACCGCATGTTCCGACCACTATAACGCCAAGAAACTAACCGCAAAAAAACATGCCAGGGTCATGCCCAAACCTCCCAACCCCGAAACAAGTGCACCGTTTGCACGGTCCAGGGTTAAGGGGCCGGTTTAGGGTTTAGGGTTTAGGGTTTAGGGTTTAGGGTTTAGGGTTTAGTTAAGGGGTTACTTAGGGCTTTGAATTTTGCGGTTAAGCTGGAAGGGTGGCTTCGCGGTTACGATGGTTTCGGTTGCCGCCCTAGCCCTGGAGCGGGCCCTACCCCACCCCGCCCCTACTCCGATAAGTATACCAGTTGCAGCCCTAAGTGAGGACATGATGCACTCTAACTTGGGTTGCACATCTCCCAAACAGTCGCTGAGGCGGCGGCGGCCCCAATTTGCAGCGACTCGCCCTGGCTATAAACAGTCTTGATGGGAATGGCCTATAACAAGAACACTCAGGCTCGCAATGCTGCACTGTATCTACTTATGATTGTAAGTAGCGAGTGTTCGCTGTATTGTAACAGCCGTTATGGTGACGTTCTTTCCGTCCCGTGCGACGTCGAGGCGCGAGGCCACCGTCCGCGATCGTTCCCTGCCCGAAGCCTGATAAATATTGCGCAACAAGAACTCTGAAACTACGAGGGCCTATTGGGCCATATTCCTATAAATCCTGAGCTAGGGGCTTAGGGCACTGCAAAACTAGTTGGGGTCTTCACGGACTCCGCCCTTCAAAGGCTTTGTAGGGCTTCAGGTCTTAGGGTTTGGGGTTCAGAAATCCACGAGAGACCGCTTGCCTTTCTTGGGCCTCGGCGTTCTCAAGCCTATAGGTTGGAGGACTCAACAAAATACTGCAAGAATGGGCTGGCTACGAAAAAGCCCAGAGTTTAAAACCCTGCACCTATAGACCCCAAGCCCTCAAACCAGAACGAAACCCTTAGCTTTCAACTCTAGAAACACCGACCCCCAAGCCTTTCGCCGCGAATCCGTCGAACTCCCGAATGCGTAACCCTAAGGATCCATGTAATCTAGGGGCGTAAATAATTAGAACAGGGGTTAGGGCGGGTGATTATAGTATAATGATATAGGGACCAAAAGGGAGTCCCATTAAACCCTAAACCCTAAACCCTAAACTCTAAGTCTCCTGCTAACCAACAGTAAGAAGAGGGCTGCGCCTTGTTGCCACTGACCCAGGGGCTGCTAAAGAGCGAGACGTAGAGGCCCAGGAATGCCTTGGCAGAGCCCTACAAGCCCTAAACCCTAGCCCTAAACCGTAAACCCTAAACCCTAGCCCCTAGACCCTAGACCCTAAACCCTAAACCCTAAACCCTAAACCCCTAGACGTGGGCCTAACCCGTAAACCCCAAAGCCAGGAGAGCGCTATAGTTTCCCCTGTCGGCCACTCTTCCAAGTTCCTCCATATTGCGTTCCTTGAATCGCCATCAAACTCTATACTCGGCGCCCGGCCCTAAATCCTAAACCCCAACCTCAAACCGACAAATCCCTAAACACCCTAAACACCCTAAAAACCCCAAACACCCTAAACACCCCAAACACCCCAAACACCCCAAACAACCCAAACAACCCAAACACCCTAAACACCCTAAACACCCTAAACACCACAAACACCACAAACACCCTAAACACCCTAAACACCCTAAACACCCTAAAAACCCTAAACACCCTAAACACCCTAAACCCGAAAGACTCTAAGTTAAACCCTAAACCCTAAACCCCTCACCCTAAACCCTAAACCCTAAACCCTGAACCGCAACTGTCGGCTTGGTTTTGGGGATGCCTGCCTCCATCACCAGCAGCACCGAGATGCAGAGGCCCACAAGCATGCACCAGACCTTGGCGGGGCACAGGGCTGCGATGTTTAGGGAATCTGTGGGTTTAGGGTTTAGGGTTTCGGGTTTAGGGTTTGGGGTTTGGGGTTTAGGGTTTGGGGTTTAGGGTTTGGTGTTTAGGGTGTAGGGTTTAGGGTTTAGGGTTTACGGTTTAGGGTTTAGGGTTTGGGGTTGGAGGTTTTAGGGTTTGGGGTTGCGGGTCAGGGTTTAGGCATGACAACAACTCAAAACTCAAGATTTTTCATGAAACAAAAAGGCATACGAACTGATGCGTAATAAGTTTGAAGAGGGCCGCGTCTATTTCAGGGCCAGGGTGCGGAATACTGTTAGTAAAAATTGTTCCGACCGCCATCAAACCCCTAAACCCTAAAGCTCTTAAACCCCAAAACCCCAATCCCTAAACCCTAAACCCTTAAACCTTAAAGCCCTTACACCCTAAACCCTAAATATTAGGCCCTGAGAGGGTGCCTTGATCGCTACCCGATGGCTCTTTTTGCATCCTGGACACCCCCACCCCCCGCCCCCACACCTCAAACCAGCACCACCCCCAGACCTAGCTAGGTTTAGGGTTTAGGGTTTATAAGGGTTAAGGGTTTAGGGTTTAGGGTTTGGGGTTTAGGGTTTAGGGCTCAGGGCTTCGGGTTGAGGATTTCCTTCACCCCCTAAACCCTAAACCCTAAAGGGCCCGGGCGTGGTAGATGCGCAACGCCAGCCAGGCAGGGGAGCGTTCGAGGCGGAACTGAGCCTGTTGTGGGTTTAGGGTTTGGGGTTTAGGGTTTGGGGGTTTTAGGGTTTTAGGGTTTAGGGTGGGGAGGATAGGGGTTTAGGGTGTGGAGTTTAGGGTTTGGGGTTTGGGGCTTGGGGTTTAGGATTTAGGGTCTTTGGGTGTAGTTATAAGGGCCCTCCCTAATTAATCCTGCAAGGGCCTGGGGTATGGGGTCAACCCTAATAACCAAAATTAGCGTAAAACATCTAAAGTTAAACCCCAAACCCTATACCACAAAGCCCGACTATAAACCCTTGCAGTACACTCTAAGAGACCGAAAAGTCCGCACCCGAAACCGTCAAACCCTGAACTTGAAACCCTCAAAGCATTGCAAGCCCCAAGATCTCAGACCCTACCCAAACCACCAGCTTCTTTAATCAACAGCCCTAAACCCTAAACCCTAAACCCTAGACCCTAGACCCTAGACCCTAGACCCTAAACCTAAACCCTAAACCCTAAACCCTAAACCCTAGCCCCCCAAAACCCTAAGCCACAACTGGTCTCCGCTGCCTCCCTCGAAGCCTGGCTGCACGAGCGACCTGGTCACAGTGTGTTTTTTTTTTGGATTTGGGAGTTGTAGGGTTTAGGGTTTAGGGTTTAGGGTTTAGGGTTTGGGGTTTGGGGTTTGGGGTTTGGGGTTTGGGGTTTGGGGTTTGGGGTTTAGGGTTCAGCGGAAGTTGGGGGGCTTTTAGGCTTTCAGAGGTGATTAGAGTTTAGGGACTTTAGGGCTTCCGAGCACCTTAGCGCTCAGGGCTTTGGATTCAACATCTGCTTTGTGGCCACTTGAACTCTTGACTGCCACTCCCTGCTGTCACGCCGAGCTCCACCATCAACCCTAAACCCTAAACCCTAAACCCTAAACCCTAAACCCTACACCCTAAACCCTAAACCCTAAACCCTAAGCACCCCAACAACGAGGACCGTGGGGCACCATGAGATCCCCTGCCCCCTGTGTGGGAAGACGCCGCGGCGCCGTGGAGCCTACACCGTAAGCCCTTGCACACTACTCTATTCAACCTTGGGTTATGCTTTAGTTTAGGGTTTAGGGTTAAGGGTTTAGGGTAAGGGGTTGAGGGTTTGGGGTCTAGGCTTTAGGGTTTAGGGTTTAGGGCTTATAAGGTTTAGGGTTTATATCTCCATTTCCTCGAACCATTGATCGAAGCACCCCGGGAATCACCTCGCCCTAAACCGTCCATTTCAACCTTTGTGTACTTAGACTCTAAACCCCGAAACCCTAAACCCTAGCCCTAACCCTAAACCCTCCCTTACCCTCTTTAAAGGGTTCTGAACTCTGGGACCTTGGGTTTTATAGGGTATGTAGGGGGTCCACTTTTCGGGGTCCCCTGTGACTGCAATGGAAAGAATTGAACTCTCGACCCCCCCACAACTGAACCAGGAGACCCAAGGCCAAACCCCCTCTGACCCGAGGATTACAATTCATCAGGCGGTGCCTTCCGGCGCTTCGCCGTTTGGCTGATCCAGATAGTGCCCGAGCAACGCAATGAAAAGATCCCTCTTCCATGCATCCATATTCAGGGACCTTGAAAACGTCCAGCTCTTCCAACATCTGAGGCTCAGGCCCGTCATATGGCCACGTGTCCTACCTGGCCCGGCGAAACCCCACCGCGGCTGCCTTGGCGTTGGAGCAGACTTGCCGTTGCTCCTCCTGCACCGCCGCACGTTCCGCATCCGCCATATCCTGGAATCTTCCCAGATGCTTCGGTCAATGCCTTCCATGTGGCGCTTGCACCAGCCATTCTCGACTTCGGCTCCGGGTCTGAGCTTCCGCCCTCCACTCGTCATGAAAGAAGTGCCAGTGCCGATCTTTTGGACGTGACGTGTGTAAAAAGGAATATCAGCCATACAAAAAAACCCTCTAAGGCCCTGAGCCCCAAGGGAGCTGGAACGTGAACCCTAAACCCTACACCCTAAAATTCTTTACCCTTTACCCTAAGCGCCAAACCCTAAACCCTAAACCCTAAACCCTAAACCCTAAACCCTAAACCCTAAACCCTAAACCCTAAACCCTAAACCCTAAACCCTAAACCCTAAACCCTAAACTGCAGGAATCTCGGCCTTGCAGCCACACCGGCCGGAGCCGAGACGACTCCTCGGCCAGGACGGAGCCTGTCCTTGCGGATAATTGAGCATTGTGGGAGTTTTGGGTTTTGGGGTTTAGGGTTTAGGGCTAGGGTTTAGGGCTAGGGTTTAGGGTTTAGGGTTCAGGGTTTAGGGTTTCGGAGGGCTTCTGCAGGGCTTGCATAGGACTTATGGTTTGAGTGTTGTTTTTTATTTTTTCGCGGCTTAGACACGTATTCTCGAAGGGAACCCGCTACACCCTAACTCGGAACCCTATAAACCTCAACCCTCTAACCCTCTAACCCTATAACCCTACACGTCAGAACCCGAACCCTAAACCCCCTTTTACCCTATAACCCTATAGCCCGAAGTCCCTAAACCATGTACGGCCCATGTACAGGATTAGCTGTCACACAAACTCAACTGCAGTTTTCCAACTGTAGTTTTCCAGCTCGAAGAGGGTCTAATTGAGGTTGGGGTGGTAGGATTTAGGGTGATAGGGTTTAGGGGTTTAGGGTTTTGGGTTTAGTAAACCCTGATCCCTTACAGGGGGAGTGGGGGAGGGGTAGAAGGTACCGAATACCCTCGAACCACGAGCTTCAAACTGCCTGGATGGGGTTTAGAGTTCAGGGTTTAGTTAGTTCCTTTAGGGTTTAGGGCTGTTGTTCTAGATCAGGCACCTTTTTGGGCACCCTAACCTACACCCTAACCTACAACTGGGATATGTACAGTCCAACTGCATCAGGGACATCCACGAGAGGGATTGTGGTTTAGAACAGGCACCCCACCAAGCCCGAACAACCCTAAAACCATGACTGAAACCCTAATAAAGCTCTAAACTTCCCCTATAAAACCCTAAAACCCCTAAAACCCTAAAACCCTACAACCCTGCAACCCTACAACCCTACAACCCTACAACCCTACAACCCTAAAACCCTAAAACCCTCAAAACCCTAAAACTCTAAAAACCCGAACAAAACCCAAACAAACCCTAAAACCCGAAAACAAACCTTCTGAAACCTTGACGTTTCAGCTGCCAAGTCCTTTCGGGGGAGCCGTGGGGTTCCATCATGATGCGAAGACCTGTTCAGTGGATGGGGGAGGCCAATCAACCCTGTCCTTGGAGGTTCACGGTACTTATAGTACTTATTGACCAGCTATGACTGTACTTGTAACCCGCTTAGAAGCCCCTTAAGTGCCCTAATATGGTTAGAAAGTACAGTTCTCTAAGTAGAGGTAGAACTGATTATGAACCTCCAAGTAACCACTATCACTATACTAGGCCCAAGAGCAACCTAGAAACAACAAAGGGTGCCCTTGTTGGTTTGAAAGGGCCTCGTAAAAAAATGGGGAAAACAGGGAATACAGGCCTACTCGAGGTCCTAGTCTATGGGCATTTCCCGCATAGGGCATAGGGCCCCCCAAAATGCCAGAGTCCTGATATTACAGGAACCCCCTCCCCCCCCCAAAGAACGGCACTCCTATTCCGGAACCCTTAACCCGAACCTTCAACCCCCCCCCCCCCCCCCCATGCAGCCCTCACCCTAAGCCCTAAGCCCTAAACCCTAAAACCCTAAACCCCCCTAAACCCAAACCCCAAACCCCAAACCCTAAACCCTAAACCCCTAAACCCTAAACCCGGGAAACGAAAAGGAAAGTCGGCCTTCAGCGACTCTGGCAGTGAACTTGCATGGAGCTGCGCTGGCGACTCTGCCGTCTTGCTTAGCTTGGCTTGGGGTTAGGTGCTGTTAGGGTTTCGGGTTTCGGGTTTAGTGTTTAGGGCTGGGCTTAGGGCTTAGGGCTTAGGGTTTAGGGTTTCGTGTTTAGGGTTTAGAGTTTAGGGTTCAGGCTGTAGGCTGTAGGGTTTCGGGTATAGGGTTTAGGGTTTGGGGTTTAGGGGCTAGGGGCTATGGGTTAGGTGTTGGGTTAGGGTTGAAATTACTTAGGCTCCGTTACAGTGGATGTTGTTTAAGAAGCAACAACAACACAGGGCCCTGAGAGAATAAGGACTTGAGGAGGCTAGTGCCTGACGCCTCCTCACCCGAAACGCTAAACCTCGAGGCGCAAAAGGTGTTAAACTTCTTCTAGTTTCTGAGCCCGAAGCGAGGCGCGTGTAGCCGGAGCACTTCAACAGGCAGTACTTGATGGCCCCGGAACCCCTAAATCCCCCAAAAAACCTTGAGACTCCTAAACCCCTAACCCCTAAACCCCTAGAAACCTTTAGACCCCTAAACCCCTAAACGCCTAAACCCTTAACCCCTAAACCCTCAACAGAAACCCTAACTATATCCCGAAACCAGGCGAAAACCCTAAGCCGCCTGCCTCCAATTACCCCCTTATAGGGGCGTACCTTACTGAGGGTGTTTTGGACCTAGGCTTTAGGGTTCAGGGTTTAGAGTCTCAACGTGCGCCTTACTGAGGGCTCTTCGGGCAACATCCTCAACTTACTTCTCCAATACCCTTGGAAAAAATAAGTGGAACTTCCTTCTTCCAATAATCATGGGTGCCTTAGTTCCCCTCATAATTGAGGCAACTTAGGGAAAATGGAGCGTAACTAAGGTTATTTCAGGGGGAACCTAGGAAGGGGGGGGGGGGGTAGTATAGAGAGGGGTAGTAGGGGAACTCATGGTATAAAGTAAGGAAACCCCAGAAGTTGAAAGTTCTACCAGCGGTTTAGGGTTTAGGGTTTAGGGTTGGTCGCAACCCTAACCCTGAACCCTGAACCCTAAACCCTAAACCCTAGCTCGAACGCCTGCCAAGAAGTGCCTAGGCCCATCCTGAATGGTACATGCTTAAGCCGTAGGGGAAGCAAACTCCGTCACAAACGGAATCAAACAAATTCAGGCTCAGGTCTACAGTCACTTTCTCTTAACGTAGCTTTTGGGGTTTAGGGCTTATCCCTAAACCCTAAACCCTAAACCCTGAAACCCTGAACCCTAAACCCTAGACCCTAATCCCCTATACCCAGACCCTCGGATGGGAGGGAAGCTTGGAAGACCTCTGCATCGTGGCCCTTGGAACGCCTTGGGCGGGAGCTTGGTTCAGGGCCGCGTAGAGGGCTCGAAACGGTCTCAAGGTATCCGGAATAATCCCCCTCCCCCCAAATAACCCCCCCCCCCCGCTACCCCCTATGTTAAAAATCCCCCCCCCCCCCCCACACATACTCTAATATGACTACAATGGCAAGGGGCGGGGGGGGGGAATAATATTAGGGGGAGGGGATTGGTAGGGAGTTCGGGTTCAGGCCTTGCAGGCTTCAGAGTTGCGGTTAAGGGCTTAAGTGGGCTTTAGGGTTCTTGTTTCGGGCGTTTAAGGCTTATAGGGCTTCAAGGCTTAGGGTTTAGGATTTGTGGTCTTGCTGGAAGATGGGTTCTGAGTTTCTGCTGTAAAGACCTGCTTTCAACGGATGCTTGCTTGCATGGTAAGTCAACCGCACCTCACCTCTAAGAAATCTCTCATGGAACTTAAACCCTACACACCACGTCCAAAACCGTAAAAAACCGTAAGCGCCCTAAACCCTACCGGCCTTCTTCCGGAGTAGGTGTGGGGGGGGCAGGGGCTTTCGGAACCGGTGCTGATGAATTGATTGCGGCAGATGAGGGCCTTTGTAGGGTCTAGAATTTAGGGTTATAGGGTTTAGGGTCCCTAAACCCTAAACCCTAAACCCTAAACCCTAAACCCTAAACCCTAAACCCTAAACCCTAAACCCTAAACCCTAAACCCTAAACCCTAAACCCTAAACCCTAAACCCTAAACCCTAAACCGTTTAGGAGTTACGGTTTGGGGGAGTCCTCTTCGGCAGAGGATGGCGCTGGGGTCCTCTTCGACCCCGGACCAAGCACAGATTGCAGGGTTTTAGGGTTTTAGGGTTTTAGGGTTTTAGGGTTTTAGGGTTTTAGGGTTTTAGGGGTTTAGGGTTTTGGGGTTTTAGGGCTTCGGGTTTAGGGCGCGCTTCAACAGCTTGTCCATGATATGGGGCTTTCCTGACATGGGGGTACCGGGGGTACCGTTTTGGGGGTCCCTCTAAAGGGATTCTATTCTATTTGGGGTATACAAGGGGTACCCGCTCTTACACACCCAAAACCCTAGCATACCCTTCACACGGGTCAGGGTTCAGGGTTCAGGGTTCAGGGTTTAGGGTTTAGGGTTTAGGGTTTAGGGTTTAAGGGAGTTGGCCCTGAGCACCTTGAAGCCTCACTCCCGCAAACCTCGTGAGCCCCGGATAAAGTTCCCAGTACCCCTTGACCCCCAGACCGTGCCTGCCTAAACCCTAAACCCTAAACCCTAAACCCTAAACCCTAAACCCTAAACCCTAAACCCTAAACCCTAAACATATAAAAGCAACCCCATGACACTCGATCCCCAAGTGGCAAGAAAACGTTCTAACCCTAAACTCTACATACCTCTAACCCCCAGAACCCCTGCAAATCCTCAAACCCGTGTCTGCTGAACCCCTCAGCCCTAAATCCTAAACCCTAAACCCTAAACCCCTACAAACCCTAAACCCTATAATCCCTAAACCCCTAAACCCTATAAACCCTATAAACCCTATAAACCCTATAAACCCTATAAACCCTATAAACCCTATAAACCCTGAACCCTAAACCCTATAAACCC